ACGTCTTAAGAATGCTTTGGGGGAGAAGGGAAAACGAAAGTTTGTAGCTGCCTGATCGGCTGCAAATTCTGGCAATAGCCAAGAATACCCTGGGGCAAATTTATGAAACAATTTTATTCTAGGCTCAGTTGTCTTCTGACGAAGCTGAAACGTTGGCACAGGACCGGGAACGTTTGCGACGCTATCTGAAGGTGTCTGTCTATATGACGCTAAAGGATAAGCGATCATCGAAACTGACTGACTGACTTTATACTGAAAACCTAAATCATGGCATTTTAAGCAGCTCGTTCGAAGAACAACGTGAAAATAAACAATGTAGGAAAAAATGACAAATACGCAAAATATCCCAAACAAACGCCATGCCCTCCGACAGAGATCTGTAGGAGACCTTGCACGCATGAACCACGCAAGCTAAGAGGAAAGCAATATAAGAAATGTCAAAAAAAATAATGACTGACCAAGATAATGAAGGTTGTGCTTCCAATAACTGGCAGTTTTATGGTCAGATTTACGGTGTTGCTATGAGCTCCCCTTTGAATGCAGCTTCATTAATTCCTTTAAATCTTCCGCTTCAAGTATTTATCCACCTGATATTAAACCCATTTTTTACATTAGATACACTGACGATATGTTTGATCCTTTGGAATCACATTAACAGATCGAATAACTTCTTCGTTTCTTGAATAACCATGAGGACTACAAATGTAAAATTTTCAGTCGGTCAGCTTCGACTACCGCTTTTCCTTTCGGTTCGCAGAGGCAGACATGTCAGACAGTGCTTCCAACGTCCCCGATCCTGTGCCTCAGTCTGAGCTTCGGCAGAAGACAACTGGAATCCGAAACAAACTCCTTCCATGAATCTGCACTAGGTTAATCTTGGCCGTTCCCTGTACCTTCTACCGGTCGGTTTCGTAAGAAAAAGTTGCTTACCTTCCTTTCTGGAGGCATTCGCAACACATGGCCAAGCCATCGCAGCTGTGACTTCTCAATCTGGAGAAGTAGAGGCTGTACACCAAGGCTCTCGCGGATGTCTGTATTCCGGATCATATCAAGATATATAAAGACTCGTCTCAAAAAGCCCCGTTTCAGTCGCTTGTAAGAGGATCAAAGATTTTCAGTCATAACCCACGACTCATGATCGTAGATGAGCATGGAGATGAAGATCGATGTGAACACCGAGAGCTTAGTTTTCGGACTGAGCTCTGCTTTAGTCACAATGAATCAAGCCAGTTCACGCTTAGTCTTCAGATTCAGGGGGTTGACATTTAGTAGGCCACGGCTCCATGGTATTTTACCATCTGCAGTGTACTGTACAGAGGTAAAACAACACCACTTTACTAGATCAAACAAAAATATGTTCGAACCCCAAAGAAT